TGTGTGTGTGTGTGTGTGTGTGTGTGTGTGTGTGTGTGTGTGTGTGTATATATATATACACACATATCTATCCTCTGAAAGCACTTATAGTCGTCCCCAATCGTCACATTGTGTTCTTCGCTCTGTATTTTGTGCCTCACACATCAGGTCAGTATCTCTGAAGCAGACTTACAAGCCATGGGGGGCACGATCACGATGGTGACCCAAGAAGGCACGACCATCACCATCCCGGCCCACGAACTGGCAACGCAAGGTGCTCACTCGGTTACAATGGTAACAACAGACGGCTCAGAAGAACAGGTAAACAACTGACCGACTGTTGTGTGGAACGTAGAAAAAAATGTTTGAATGATTTGCTTTTGGGGTATTTTGTGTACATATATAATTGTATTGTATTTGTGTTACTTAATTAACTGAGCTGAGCTTCATAATACCAGACAATCTTGAATATTAACACAACATAAACATAACATTACGAGTATGTTATATAATGATATACAGTATAACAATTACAATTTCAACAAGCATTTGTTTTATAAACAATTAAACGGCAGCACTGCTGGAGACAGTGTGGGCAGACGACGATCACTAATCACCAATATCTTCTCGTGTTGTATAAACAATACAAACATTCTTGCACACTGTTATTCAGATTGTTGAGGAGATTTTATGCTAAAAATCTTCTAGGTATCTTAAGTTTTCTAGGGACCCTCGGATTGTGTACATCCTTCAAAAGAAGTACATCTATCTCTTCAAACTCCTAATGATTCATGTAAACAGGCCATCACAGACCAGGATGAAGACATGTAGAGGAAATATACTCCAGAGAAAACCTGACTCCTTATCTAAGGACTAATCGGGGAAAAAAGACAATCAGCCCAAACAATTCTCTGTTGGACCTCCGAAATAGCACCAAATGTGGTCACTGATCGATTTGTGATTGATTGTCTCTCGTCTCCCTCAGGTGGCCATCATGACGTCGGATATGGCCGCGTTCCAAACCGTGGAGGAGGCTGGCTACAGCCAAGAGCAGGATGACATTCATCCTGTCACATTACTGGCCACCTCCAACGGCACTCACATTGCTGTGCAGGTTGGTAGAACGACACCATAGGAGTGAAAACACTGGTGGGATGAGTTCATGTCTGTGGATTTGCTTAGTTAACTTTATTGAAGAAGAAGAAAGAAGAAGACTGGAAACATCGGCCATGTTGTTTAAACGCAGAAAATCTGTGAAATGGATCATTTGGGAAGTAGAGGCCCATTATATTCAGAAATATTAGTTATAGACTTGGTATTGATCCCACAAAGTCTGCTGCATTTCTGATTGATTGCTTTTGCTGAGAACGACACTCAGTGTGCTGCTGTTCATACGATACTGACAAGAGTTTAGATGTCACTGACAGGAGTTTAAATGATACTGACGGGAGTTTAAATGATACTGACGGGAGTTTAGATGACACCGACGGGAGTTTAGATGACACTGACGGGAGTTTAAATGACACTGACACTAATCCAAATCCATGATGACCGCCAGCGCTAAATCTGCAGAATAAAGAGGAAGCCAAATTTCTAATAACAACTTACTGCTGTGGTTTTATTTCTCAGTACAAAAATGAATCCAAACACAAATAGAAGTGTTTTAATGACATATTATTCTGTTTAATTCAAGTACTAAATGAGCTATTCTAGCCTGAAACCCCAGAGGGACGAGGATGGCATCAAAGGTTGCAGGTCTCATGACCGATACCTTTATTCATGATGGAAAACCCTGTTTTGATTGACTCACTCTGGCTCTTTCTGTCATGCTAATCACAAAGCAAACGCTCTTTTTCCACCTTTAATCAACATGTGACGAAAGCCTTTTAACACCAGTCGGCGGTGGTGTTGTCTTCCATGGGGGCGTCGGGGTAAATCCGTAGTAGTGATCGGTTATCAGTATGTCGATCAATGATCGTATAATGCACATTGTTCTCCTTCTCTCTGTAGCTCAGCGATCAGCCTTCGCTGGAGGAAGCCATCAGAATAGCATCAAGAATACAGCAAGGAGAGTCACCGGGCCTGGATGATTGATGGACTCATTATGGAACATGATTTAGGATAATAACAAACAAAGAACATCTCAATTGGACTATATCAACGAGAGAAATCGCAAGTCTTCCTCCGTGTTTTTGTTCCACTAAAGAACTTAGCTTTTATGTGTACATAGGATTTTGATAACTGGAGTTCTGCTCTGCTATTTTGTTCCCCAAACCAGAAGAGACGGGAGAGGGGAAAATGCTTTCTTATGTTTATGGTGCACAGTGCACAGTGCAGTGTACAGCTAACGCTATTTCTAATAAAAAAAAACAAGATAAAAAAAAGTGTGATTAGTTGATTGTACTTGATTTTAAATACCTGTTAAACGTAATCGTATT